GTCTGGGCGACAGAGTGAGACTCCAACTCAAAAAAAAAAAAAAAGCCAAAATTCTGGAAAAGAAAGAATCATTTAGAGAAGTCTAAAATGCAGCAGGTTTTAACAGTAGACTAGAAAAAGTAGAAGAAATAATCTCAGCTTTTAAATTAACCCAATCAAACAACAATAAAGAAAAAATAATCAAGAGAATGAAACAAAGTATCCAAGAAATGTGGGATTTTGTAAAACATCCAAACTAATCATCATAGATGTTCCAGAGGAAGAGCAAGCAACAGGTTTGGGAAACATATTTAAGGGAATAATGAAGGAAAACTTTCGTGGCCTTGCCAGAGATTTAAACATTCAGATACCCCTCTGGGAATATCCCCAGAGGAACTCAAATCACTCTACAAAAAAGATTCCTGCACATGCATGTTTATTGCAGCACTATTCACAATAGCAAAAATATGAAACCAACCATGCTGCCCATAGAAACTGGATTGGATTTTTTTTTTTTTTTTTTGAGTTGGAGTCTCACTTAGTCGCCCAGACTGGAGTGCAGTGGCCACTCCCAGCCACTGCAGCCTCGACCTGCTGGGCTCCAGGGATCCTTCTGCCTCAGCCTTCAGGTAGCTGAAACTACAGGCACACGCTACCACATCCGGCTAATTTTTTTTTTATTGTAGAGATGTGGTCTTGCCAAGTTGCCTAGGTGGGTCTCAAACCCGCAGTCTCAGACAATTCACTCACCTCAGCCTCCCAAAGCATAGAATTACAGGCTGAGCCACCGAGCCCAGCCTGGATTAGATTTTTTAAAGTGGTACATGAATACAATGGAATATTATGCAACCATAAATAAGGACCAAATTATGGACTTTGCAGCAACTTAGATAGATTTAGAGTCTATAATACTCAGTGATCACAGAAACAAAAAACTGAATACCACATGTTTGCACTCAAAAGCAGACCCTAAACATTTGCCATAATACTATAAAAAAGGAATTGGCAGTAGCTGGAAACTGCCAGGGAAGGGAGAGGGAAGGCACACAACATCAATAAAGGTGCCTAATCTCAAGCCAGGTGAAGTGGGGATCAAAGGGAGGCCCAAACTTTGCCTGTACAATGACCACTCGTATACCTAATCCTGAATTGTACCCCACATCTTTAAAATAATAAAAAAAGAAGAAAGAAAAATTCAGATACAAGAAGCCTAAAGAAATCCCAGAAGATTCATTGCAAAAAGGTCATTCCCAAGTCATATAATCATCTGGTTATGCAAAGTTAATATGAAGGAAAGAATTTTAAAGCAGTGAGAGAAAAACTTCAAATAGCTTACAAAGATAAACCTATCAGACTAACAGCAGACTTCTCAGAAGAAACCTTACAAGTGAGAAAGGAATGGGACCCCTATCTTCAATCTCCTCAAACAGAGTAACAGCCAGCCAAGGATTTTGTATCCCACAAAACTAAATTTTGTAAATGAAGAAAAAATGAAGTCTTTCTCAGACAAGCAAACACTGAGGGAATTTGTCGCCACTAGCCTGACTCTACAAGAAATAATCAAAGGAGTGCTAAATACAAACAAAAGGTTGAAATATAAGTAGAAGCTGGGCTTGGTGGCTCAGCCTGTAATCCCGCACCTTTGGGAGGCTGAGGTGAGTGGATTGCCTGAGCCCATGGGTTCGAGACCCACCTGGGCAGCGAGACCTCATCTTTACAATAAATCAAAAAATCAACCGGACGTGGTAGCACATGCCTGTAATTCCGGTTACATGGAAGGCTGAGGCGGAAGGATTGCCGGAGCCCAGCAGGTCGAGGCTGCAGTGGCCGGGAGTGGCCACTGCACTCCAGTCTGGGTGAGAGTGAGACTCCAACTCAAAAAAAAAAAAAGAAATATAAGTAGAAAAACACTGGAAGCCATAAAGCTCACAGGCCTTACGGAACACCAACAAATAAGAGAACATAAATAAATAAATAAATAAATAAA